CCCATAACGTGTGTGTGCTCTTCGACTCCGGTCACTTTTCTTAAATAGCATACCTTAATTCGATACCGTGATTTAATACAATAACATTCGAATCTCATTATGCGAAAATCCTCAAAGAGCTCTACAGAAGTAAAAACGCGAAGCCAAAAGTGCAAATTTGCGAAGGCGAAAATGCGATTTTTGTATCGCTCCTTCGCCATCGCACTCTCGCCTTCGCCCTTATTGCGAAGGTGCGAGTTGCCCTAACGGAATACCTTAAATTCCCTCGACCATTTTAAAAAAAAAAAAAAAAAAAAAGATAAACAATAATTTCATGATAATCAATTAAGTTCCCTTTAAAAATAAACTCACAAAATTTTGAGCGAAAATTCGTTTTCTTGATTTTGTAGCTTTCGCCTTTTTTTTTTTTATTTCCAAGGCATCAGATCATTTAGAAAGAGTGGATTCATATTCTCCATCTTTGAAGTAGGTAATCGACTTACTTTTTATTCTTGCTGCTTCAGAAAAAGCCACAAAGAAAAGGACGGAAATCAACACAAAGTTCGCCATAACTACTGACACAGCACCCCTACTGGCTATATTCATTTTTAACAATTTATTTATACTTCCTCGGTCATAAAATGACCGAGGGTCTGTGATCACTTGACCCCGCCGCTATTCTTCATTGTCTGTCTCTGTAAAACCTTTTCCGAGCTGGGTTTGCTCCTATTCCATGTGTCAAAACGGACATAAAATGATGACATTTAAGAGCCTTTTGGTCAGTAATTTTGTTATAATAAATTATCTTAGAATGCTTCTTATGGTTTTAACTTGAATGCAAAATTAAAAATCTAAAATTCCTTTCGAAAATTATATTTGTATGAAATAATGTTAGACCCTTTAAAGTGCTATTATAGAATAATTGGGTTTTTTGTTTTGTTTTTGTAAATATTAGTGCTTCCTTATTTGATCTATTAAAATGAATTGGATCAACATAATATTCTATGAAGAAATGTGCCGTTTTAACCATTTACTTCCCTTACTTGCGCAGCAATATATCCTTATCACTTGCATAAGGGGTTTATATCTCGAGATTGATTTCATACATGCTCAGTACAATATACATGCGAAATTGAGGCAAGTTATTGAAAAGTTTATGAAACAAGAAATATCAACAGTCTCATTTGAAGTCATCATTCGTACTAAGTTTTATGGTCAATACAATAACCTTGTCAGCAAGTACTACCGGTATCTACCATTAGGTCAAATGCTGACTGACGTTTTTATACTAAACGTTAGGCCATTTTTACACACTGAATTGTCGACTGATTTTTGCAAAAAAAATTCCCGAGGGGGAAAAGGGGCACACGGCGAATGTGGCCTTCATGGCACCTGATCCACCTTTGATGCATAGGAGGTCCGTATTTGCTCTACTCTGCTTTTGAATGGACTTTTGAGCGTCAATTCTGTGCGTTATCTCATTGTTTCATTGTCGCCCGCGTGGCGCAGTGGTTAGAGCGTCTGCTCTAGATTCGCGAAGTAAGCTGTTGATCATTACGTCGCGGATTTGAATCCCACTGTGGGACGTGTAGACCGGTCCTTCGGATGAGACCGTATAAACCGAGGCCCTGTGTCGCAGTAGGTGCAAAAAATATCCCTCCCTGCTCAGTGGCGCTGAGTGCCGAGTATAGCACAAATTTGCAGCTCTCCACTGGCAAATGGTGGCGTCTCCATATGAGTGAAAAATTCTCGAGAGGGAAGCTAATCAATATTTAGTCAATCAATCAACCAATCATTGTTTCATTACAATTTATTAAAGGGTATCAATTATGATGAATGTCTTCTATAAATGCTTTACAGTTCATAACTTTATCTGTATGACGTAACATCATTATAACAGTTTTGTTTTTGAACTTTTGTTCCATATTTGCTTTTAGAAATGAATTAAATTTCATACATATATAAACACTAGGGACTATTGACTTTCATAGTTAATGCTATACAAATGGCATGAAAAGGGGGGAAAAGAACATAAAATTAATATTGAAAAATATTTCCGTGAAATTCCTTTGAAATTCTACTTCTCTTAAAGCCGCTAGGTCCGATTCTAATCGCAAAAAAAATATATTCGTTTTTCTTCTTGAAAAATAATTGTCCATGAATTGTTTCAACTTTTCTCAAAATATATCCCTAAAGTCTTTTTCTTTTAAAAGATATCAAAATTCAAAAGTTAAAAAAATAATTTTTGTTAGGTCACACAAAAAATAATCCTATGTTGATATCGCGTGAAATCACCTTCGAAAAATTAAATTTATCGCTTGTAAACATGTTTATCTCATGAGGAACAAACCCGAGCATTTTTTTTTTTACAAGAAAGTACTTATACATGTACCTGTACACAGACAATATTTTAGCCTTCGTAATTAAACTTTCTTATAAAAAATCTTTTAAAATATCTGATTTTCCTTTATTCTTTAAATATGCATATATTATTAATATAAAAATTACTTTGGATTATATTCAATTATTTTCTTAATTTTTAAAAGATATATTATGACGTAGGCTTCTACTAATGGAAAAAATACTTTGGGTTTGAATTATCTTTATAATTAGATATAACCGATAAAATTATTTTTTCAAAGGTGACTTCACAACAGATCTTAACTTCCCGTGAGAAACTTCTGTTTGTCAATAGGGTTTTTGATCTATGTTTTCCATGTAAGGATTGTTGTAGTAAACTATTAAATCAATCTCATAATTTATTTTTATGTATTATCTATGTAATGACGTACTTTCATTATGTGAGATAATATGTGCCTGTTTCGGATTAAGCGGCTTTAAAGTTTTAGTGTGATTTCAACATAACTTTGCAAACAAGTAAAATACAATAAGACAATTTAAGTGCATCTTTTTATTTAAATGATTGCCATGGTTACTAAAAAAGAAATTTCTGTGAAATCCCTTTAAAACGCTACTCCTCCTACATTTTTGGTCTGATTTCAGGGTAACATGGCACACAAGTAAACTAGACTAAGATACGTAATCCATTAACGGTATGGCCATGGTTACTAGAAATTAAAAAAAATCTTTGACATTCCTTTTAAACGCTACTCCCCTACAGTTATGGTCTGATTACAGTATAATCAGTTACTGCAGTACTTGGCTCACAAGTAGACTACACTAAGATACATAAACTAGTGCGTCTTTTTTGTTAATTCGATGAACGGTGTTGTCTTGGTTACTAAAAAGAAATTTATGTAAATGTGAAATTCCTATAAAATACTACTTCTCCTACAGTTTTGGTCTGATTTCAATACAACTTGGCACACAAGTATACTACCCTGCTATTGTTTTGGTCTGGTTTCAGTATAACTAGGCACACAATTTTAGGTAGACTAGACTATTAAGATACATAATTAAGTGAAGCAGGTATTGACTTCGCTTAATGGTTTTGCCATGTTTACAAATCACTGGCGGATTTAGAGGGGGCCCAGGCCCCCTTCTGTGTCCAAAAAATACACAATCTTTAATAAATCAATGTTTTGTGGCTGTGGGCACCCTAACCTCAAACTGGTCAGCCCCCCACCCCAACCCCCAATTAGAAATTTCTGTAAAATTCCTTTTAATCGTTATTCCTGCATCAGTTTTGGTTCGATTTCAATCTATTTGGGCACACCTCTGGCTCAGATGTGAGGAAATCACTTGGAATGCAGTAGAGTGTAGAATGTCTGTTTCTCAGAGGGAAGGTAAATAGTGGCTTTATTGTATGACGTGCAGTTCATCAGGCCTGAAGAGATGGTCCCCACGTATCTGTTTTTGTTTTTTATGTATAAATCTAGCTCGTATATATGCCTACCCCCTCGGCACATGCTAAAGGATTTTAAAAAAAACTCCCCTGTCTCCAACATGTGTTACAGTGATGAATTACTTTTTCTTAAAACCTCTATTCTTAGCGTGTAATATGATGTACATGGCACATTGGCGTCGGAAGCAAATTGAAAGTGGGGGGCTAAGTGTAAAAAAAAATTTGTACGTTCAAACAAACCTGACAAGCAAAAAAAAAAAAAAGGAAATGTGCCTTTTCCAAACACGAAAATCCTATTTCGGGGGGGGGGGGGGGGGGGGGTTCGAACTTCAGTACCAAAATGTTTTCCTAACACCACCACTTTCCGCATTTTTAATCTATACTAAGACCTATCTGTTGAAAGTGGGGGGCTAAACCTACGAAGATATGTTCAATGTCTATACTAAGTATATAATGGGAAAAAAAAGTGGGGGGGGGGGGGGGGGGGCCCCCCCCTAGCCCCCCCGTTTCCGACGCCTATGTGGCATATTTTTGTGTCGTTTGTTTTTCTTTTCTCAAAAACTAAAACATTGGTACATCATATTCATAATATTAGGAGAATAGAAGCTTTTTCGGACGGCTGTAAAACTGTCGACTGTATAAACTATAAATAAAAATCGGACCTGATCTTGAATTGAATCTACCACACTCTTGTATTATTACTTCTTAATTTTCCATCTAGCTTTGTACTGGTAATATTTTAATTCTTTTATATGACAATCAGTGCTTAAAGTTCGAAATGTCCTTAGTCTAAATGTCAGCAGTTAGCGCTATACTTGTTTATGATGCTTATTTAGATGAGTATATTATTAAGAATAGTTCATAATATAATCACGATGTCTCATTACTTAAAACTTCACGAAGTATTTCGTACAAACGCATAAAGTTTTAATGATTTTTGTAAAATCTTGGATTAATTCAGGGTTATTTTCAAAATTAAAATAATGACATGCATGTTTGGTTGTTAAAAGAACATTAAACACATTTGAAAATTGTTTGTGGGAAATAGCTGATTTGTGAAGGTAACTCGACTTCAGGGATGTATCATTTATAACTGCACACCTGTAAATGACAAGTGGAATTCGGTTATACACTGCAGTTGGTGTATACGTCACAAGTTCAATATAAAAATCACGTCAAAAAATAAAGTGTTATCTTAGTTCTCGGCTCTGTTAAAAAGTGCATGCAAAGTATTCCATTCTTCGAATATGCCAATTAACAAGGTGTGTTTATTTTTCTTCCTTTCATTCATGCTGGTTGTTCCTGCTGAGATGGCCTGTTGGGTTGATTCGGGAAATGGTATGTAACATGTACCTGTATATATGTATGAATTGTATAGTGTGTAAAAATTTATGTAAAATTTTTTAAAAATTATTATGTTTAAGTACATATGAATTATAAATGAAATTCAAAACAAAATATATATGACATACATGTTTTTTTCCTCAATTTGTTTTCAAAGAGTTTCCGATATAAGTGGCTTTCTCTAGTTTTAAATATTAAATCCAATACTAAGTCATTGCTTTTCTGTTCCTTATAATTGCTCGATGTTATGAGATGAATGAAACATTGACTTATTTTACTATCGACAAGATTTCGAAATAAATTCATATCACAAACAAAATATTTATGATGTTCAGTTGCATCAAGGTATTGTAACAAGTGTTTTCCTCCATTCTTCTAGGTAAGAATTGCCAACATGAAGGACACACCCTTGCCCTGAATGAGGTGTATGAAAACAGCTGGGGACCCAGGTGTTATAAATGTACCTGTAGAACGTTTGGATTATCTTGTTGCGAGTAAGTGAGCTTTAACCTTTTCCTTAATTTTTCACAATCACAAGAGTTCTAGAAAGGAAAAACGAAGACATGCAACCTGTGCATTTTAGCTCTACCAATAGAGATTATGCGATAGTAAGGTGTCTATCTGTAAACAATTTTTCGAATTGCTATACTTCTCTTACAGTTTTGGTCTGATTTCAATATAACTTGGCACAGAAGTAGAAGAACAAGGCTAGTTTTATTCGCTCTACTGGTCAGAGACCAGAAGAGCTTATGCGATGGTAATGTGTCCGGCGTCCGTCCGTCTGTCTGTAAAATTATTTTTCAAAGTGCTACTCCTCCTACAGTTTTGGTCTGATTTCAATATAAAGTGGCACACAAGTAGATTATACTAAGATACATAATTCTCTATATCGGGTTTTGATTTCGATGAACGGTGTTGCCGCGGTTACTAAAAATAGAAATTTCTGTGAAATACATTTAAAATGCTACTCCTCCTAAAGTTTTGGTCTGATTTCAATATAACTTGGCAAAAAAGTAAACTATACTAAGATACATAATTCTATTTATCGGTTTTTGATTTCAATGAACGGTGTTGCCATGGTTACCAAATTGAAAATACTGTTAAAGATTATTAAATGCTTCTCCTACAGCTGTAGTCTTATTGCAATCACTTGCCACAAAAAAGAGCTCAATCAAGCATCATTACGAGGGCTGTTCAATAAACAATGTCCTAAACTGTATGACATACAATACAGATATCATATGGCATTAAGCTTGACTTTTTCGCATTATTGAATCTTTAATGAATTTATAACAATTTATGTGATCACATTTCATCACATAATTTCATTGTGAGAAGCTGGAAAACGAGGGCTAATCGACACACTGCATGTAAAATGAATGGCAAAGAATCAGTAAACTAGAGTGAAATTAAACGCTTCATGAAAGCTGCTGTAAAACTCGTTAAGAATCCCACAGAGATATTCACTGAAATATGTAAAATTTACGGCAACAAATGTCTGTTTTATAGACAAATGAGCAGGTGGATTTAAATGATAAAAAAATTATATAATGGGCATCAAAAATGGGTATCGTGCTTGCCAACAAAAATTATAACAACTCATGTACTGTTTGCCAATTTTCAACAAATAATCACTGATGATGTATGATTGACTTTAAGACACATAGCAAATTTGATAGACATCATTTCTGGAGTTGTTCACACTATTTTAAAGAAATGTTTGACAGAAAAAAATAGCTTAGTACACAAAGGTCACCCTATGTTTTGAAAAATGAGTGAAAACGACAGCGTGTGAGAATATTTAAACAAGAGGCCCATGGGCCTTATAGGTCACCTGAGCATTATGCAACAACTTTCCACAATCTAATTAAAATTAGATCCTTTACGCTCCTTATATTTTGTTAAGTCGCCTTACAGCGACATAACAAAATACAAGGAGCGTAAAGGATTTAATTTTAATTAGATTGCAACTTTCCAGTGATTGAATTTGATTCATGTTTTAAGCCATATGCTATGACATTCATAATTTTGAAAGAGGCACCATTGATCATTATAACTATACACTTAGCAGTTGCTTAGTTTGGTTACTTAATACCCATAGGCAGGGTAGGGGAAAAAATGCATTTCAACTAATCAGTAATATGCAGCAAAAATTAGTAGTGCCTTTACCACACATGAACACCTGACCTTTAGGTCTAGATCAACACATTGCACAATTTTTGATAAGGCATCCTTGCTTTTCAAAAATATTTTGCTTAATACCAAGGAGCAGATTTCAAACAATTCATTCATTTTCATTATATAAGTACAGACCCCCCTCTATGGTACCCCTGACCCTGGGGCCTTAAAATTCACAATTCTGGAAGATTAGGGCCTTTGCTCATAACTTTATAGGTAGTTCATCTGCTTAATACCCAGGGGCAGAGAAGAAGATTTTCAAAGATTTAATGTATTTTCACTATATAATCAATAGAGCCCCGCCCTAACACAAGAACCCCTGACCCTGTGGCCATAAAATTCACAATTTTGGAATAGGCATTTTTGCTCATCATAACTATGTACTTAGTTAGTTTATTCAATACCCAGGAGCAGAGAAGAAGATTTTCAAAGAATTCATGTATTTTCACTATATAATCAATAGAGCCCTGCCCTAAAACCAGAACCCCTGACCCTGGGGCAATAAATGTCATAATTTTGGTAGAGACACTCTTGTTCAACATAACTATGCACTTAGTTAGTCTATTTAATACCCAGGAGCAGAGAAGAAGATTTTCAAAGAATTCATGTATTTTCACTATATAATCAATAGAGCCCCGCCCTAACACCAGAACCCCTGACCCTGGGGCCATAACATTCACAACTTTGGTAGAGGCACGCTTGCTCATCATACCTATGCACTTTGTTAGTCTATTTAATATCCAGAAGCAGAGAAGAAGATTTTCAAAGAATTCATGTATTTTCACTAATGAGTATGTAATCAATAGAGCCCCGCCCTAACACCAGAACCCCTGACCCTGGGGCCATAAAATTCACAATTTTGGTAGAGGCACTCTTGCTCATCATAAATATGTACTTAGTTGGTTTATTTAATACCCAGGAGCAGAGAAGAAGATTTTTAAAGAAGTAATGCATTTTCACTATACTTATTTAGCCCCACCCTAGCACTAGAACCCCTGACCTCAGGGCCATGAATTTCACACTTTTGGTAGAGGACTCAATGCTGAATACAATCATGCAAACAGTTTGACTGCTTGATGTCGAGGAGTAAAGAAGAAGATTTTTAAAGATTACATTAATTTTAGTGGTTTTTGCCCCACCCCTCAGGTCCCAGGGGGGCAGGGATCATGAAATTCACAATTTTTGTTCCCCTTTACCCATAGATGCTTTGTGTCAAATTTGGTTGAAATTGGATGAGTGGTTGCAGAGAAGAAGCTGAAAATGTTCAAATGTTAACGCACGACGGACGACGACGGACAACAACGGATAGCAATAGGTCACCTGAGTTTACTCAGGTGACCTAAAAAATAAAAAAATTGTAGTTATCCAAGTTTGTTTGAAATTCAAACAGATAATGAAACTTGAATCTATTGCTTAAAACCCTCGTAACAAAATTTACAATAAGATGTACTTTACAAAAACAGCAAAGGTCTGAGAAGAGCAAAGAAATTGCAAGAGCACAAAGACAGTTTTATATGCAATTTTCGTAAATATTAGTGGTCTCGTTGTTAAAATTCGTATTAATTCGAGGAGGCAGTTTAATTTCTGGAAGAGTCTAGAAAGCAGTTTTTTTTGCAAAAAATCGAAAAGTTAATGAGAGGAAGGAACCAGAATCAGGAATCCACTACATTAAATTTCTTCATGACAGCGTTCAAACCCACACGCCATGAAGAGAAAAGGAGTTTTGGGATAAACAGAAAGTAATTTTTTTTTTCAAACTAACAATATTCGCCAGATCTTTCGCCTTTTGACATGTTTCATTTTTCAAACTTGAAAATACACCTTTCAGAACGAAGAAACTAGTCCAGGAAATCATAAGATCTGCCATTTTCTTGTATACAAAGGGTCATACCCAAAAATGAGTTCTAAAAACGATCAGAAGTTGGATAAAATTTTTTATCGACATGGGTTTTAATTGAAAGGCAATACTAAGTTAAATTATTAAGACTAAATCATTGAAAAGCGTCTTTTGCTTCTTTCTGAGCACCGAGGACATTATTTATTGAACAGCCCTCGTATTCTATTTATTGCTGTTGTAAAGTTTCAAGTCCCAACTGCTACTTTTCCCTTCATTTTTGATAAGTACAAACCAGTAGAGCTTCAGTCTCGAGAGACTTCTCGTTTGATGAATGATATTGCCATGGTAACTAAACTGAATTTTCTGTAATTTTTTAAAGGATACTCCTACAGTTTTAGTCTTATTGCAATCTTGCCACAAAAAGAGACTATCAAGGATCATTATTCTATTTATTTCTTATTCAAAGTTTCAAGTCCAACTGCTTCTTTTCCTTCGTTATAAGTACAAATCAGTAGACCTACAGTCTCGACAGAGATTTCTGGTTAAGTTTATGCTAACAACGCTGATTTATAAGGTACCCTGTGAAGAACAAGGCTAGTTTTATTCGCTCTACTGGTCAGACCTATGCGATAGTAATACTCAGATACATAATTCTGTGTATCGGTTTTTGATTTCGAGGAACAGTGTTGCAGTGGTTATTAAAAATAGAAAATTCTGTGAAATACTTTTAAAATGCTGCTACTACAGTTTTGCTCTGATTTCATTATAACTTTGCAAACAAGTAGACTACACTAAGATACATAATTCTGTGTATCGGTTTTTGATTTTGAGGAATGGTGTTGCCATGGTTACTAAAAATAGAAGATTCAGTGAAATACTTTTAAAATGCTACTACTCCATCAGTTTTGGTCTGATTTCAATATAACTTGGCACACAAGATTACTACACTAAGATACATAATTCCATTTATCGGTTTTTGATTTCGATGCACGATGTTGCCTTGGTTAGTAGAAATAGAAATTTCTTTGAAATATTTTTAAAATGCTACTCTAAATACAGTTTTAGTCTGATCATTATACTGTAGATATATATTTTCGGCATGCAAGTAATTTTCACGACTCTTTATATAATCTTAAGCAATACTATTATACGATACATTGTTACATTATAATCAGTTTTGTGTTTTTGATTTTGATGATTGATGTTGCCATGGTAATAAAATTGAAAATTCTGTAAAGTTTTAATAAAAGCTTCTCCTGCAGTTGTAGCTTATTGCAATCTTGCCACAAAAAGAGACCTAGTCAAGGATTATTATTTATTTATAGCTTTTGTAAGGTTTTAAGTCCCAACTGCTACTTTTCTCTTCCCTTATCATAAGTATAGACCAGTAGAGCTACAGTCTCGACAGAGACTTCTGGTTTCAGATGCACGTACTTTAAAATGCCAAGGCCTTGATGCTCAAGTAACAAGCTATTTTATGAGACAAGTCAAACAAAAATTAAGTAAACTTGACTCGTCTTCAGTGTATTGATAGGTTTCCCCAGCATATCTCTTTTATTGAAATTCAAAGGTAGATATTTTTGGCAATATGGAGATGCGTTCTTTTTTAAAGTTAAACTTGTTTTAAAGTTAAACTTTTTCCATGCAGTACGGGCAGTATTATTCGAGGAGACCTGCCATCGAACTGCAAAGTCATAAAGATAGGGTGCAACGAGGAGGCGGTAAGCAAGACAGATGAATCTAAGCCTTGTGACGGGCCTGTGAGTGCAGTGCTGGGTTAATTTTTTGTAAATAGAAAGCCTTGTAAAATGGTATTCAAACATACTGGATGCAGTATCAATTGTACATACGTGTTCAACATTACATGGAATAAATTAGAAAATCGCTATTTTCTCCTTTTTTTATTGTACGTGTTATGGTTTACTATTAGTTTCACTGTTTGTAATATACACATGCAAAACCGCTATGTTTTACGGAAGAAAATAGGGCTAAATAAATACAACCTGTTTTCAAACTTCTAAAAGGAATTGACGTGGTTCTTAACCACAATTTCAAAAATGCCCAGTCTTGAAGACTGCACCTTTTATTTCATGCAGGACTACAAAATATCTCGATTACAGTATTGCTTTAAACCTTTTAATGATAGGCAAACTTTAAAGAGCCTAGATATCGAAAACATGTATCTGAAACAATCCTCCGTTGTGTTCATGTTCTTTTTCATCCTACAACTTTAGTCCTGCTGTTCACATTATTACAGGTGACGTAAATATAGTAAATAATGAGGACCTTAAAGCACTTATTTTAAAAGGTCTTAAATATAGGGAACCCCGATCCTTCAACTGGCGTCGAAAATTCATAAATATTATGAATTTTGTGGATGGTATCGACAGACATAAAAAAGATCCTGACGCTTTGTCAATTTGATATATTAGATGTATGTTTAAAATTAAGCGATTGAAGGGCAATATGACACAATCTATCCCTCTGTGTTCAATATTTCAGAAGTAAAAAAAAGAATCGATAGATAACACGATCCGTATGTATGTATTGGTCCCAGCTGACAAGACAGGTAACAATAAAACAGTGTCTTTGTTTTTAAGGGTTCATAATTGAAATTGTATGTTAGAGGAACTGGAATTGAACGCTACTAGGAATAATCCAACTTATATCGATAACTCTCTTTCTAAGGACTATAATACAGAGGTCAAAATTCAGGTTTATTCTTATGTACATGGCGGGTGTGACCGGTCGGTAGGGGATGCTCACTCCTCAATGGCACCTGATCCAACTTCTCTCAGTAGCAAGTACTTATTTCCTTCCTAATATACTACATCAGCCTTATTTGACAACTTCTCTCAGTACTCATTAGTAAGTACCAAATTTTCCTCCTAGTATACATCAGCCTTATTTGACCCTTAATCTTACAAAAAGTGGGGGGGGGAGCCAACCGGACTTCCACGAACCATTTTAAATAGTATAAAGTTATGTCCGGAAAAAAGTGGGGGGAAGCCCCCCTCTCCCCGTTGCTACTCGCCTGAGGAGTAAATTCTTCAAAAGCATACCTCAGTTTTGAAAATGTTTAATATTCACATCGACCTAAATGAATTTGAATTACCGTGTCTATACTAGTATTAGATTCCGAAACTTCATAAAGATCCTTGCAATCAAAGATAGTACTACATTCGGGTCCCAGTACATGTTCTACCAATGTTCTTTCTTTACTCCTCACTAAAATATTAACATCAGTGAAGGGGCAATTCAGGAATACTGTGCAAACATATTTTCGAGAAGTGGTGTAAATCGGATGTGAATATTCAAAGTTCCATTTGAAAATTGGAAATCACAAATTTTAACAAAAATCAATAACATAAAAAGTTATGACTTTTCAACTCTTCATACAACTATTTCTTATTGACGTAGGTCTTTTGACATCGTTGGCAGATGCTTTTTCAATAGAATGGAATAAATTAATTACCTTGCCATTGGTCATTTGCAATATTATTTTATTGTACAAGCAGGTATCCTGAAGTTGATCATAAAAAGACGCTTGAGGTTCTGATTGGCAATATCTATCTGGTTTTTGAATATTAGGTCTAACTTCCAACAATCTATTCGAAATCCCATGGAAACCAACTGCGCGCCGTTGTTAGAAGACCTATTTTTGTATGCATATGAAATAGAAATGTTTTGTACATGAGAAGAAGAATATTAATATGAACTTGAATTTCTTAACAGAATTCGCTAAGGACGTTTCGGTCTCCTTTCATTTCATTCACTCGAGCCGCTGCCTTGGTGGTATTCAATCTTGACCATCAGCGCAGACTGATTACTGTGTATGTGTCCTTTTCCGTTCCGCCCCCCCCCCAATGATTTGGATAATGTGACTAATACTTTAGTCATTCAGCTACGTCTGATATTTAATAAAAACATTTTTAATGTGTCATTGGTTATTGTTTACTGTTTCTCTTTCAATATCTTGTCATTAAATTCCATTTTATTTTACATAGATAGCTATTAGCTTTTATACGAACTCTTTTTTAGTTATTTTGCAAATATCCATTTCTATACTAGTAAATTTCAAATAAGTCTTTCATATGCCTGTTATATAAAACTAATAGGGGGCTCTTATATCAAAGCTGTGAAATCACTAGAGGCCACCGAACGCAACAAACTACAATGTGTCACCATTGATGGATAATACTATCAGAATTTGTTAAGCTTACCGGTGATATAGAAATTCTCTTAAAAAAAGAGGACAGGAGATAGTGAAAAAATAGTTTTATTACTTAGTGTCCGTTGCAAAGGTGGTTGGATAGCATATTCTATCTAGATGTGTGTTATTGTCCCCCTCTTCTTTCGCGAAAGCAAGGGAATATTAAATCTCATTCTGTAGTTCTGTCCGTCCGTCACGAAAACTTTAACCTTGATTATATCTTTCGAATGAGAAGAGGAAGGATTTTCATATTAAACATGTTAATTACTTGTTGCCTGACGTCACGGCGCCAGGCACTACTAAGAATCAATATTTCCTAGGTGCGAAGCTAAGAGGTCACAGTTAGGCAGCAAAATTTTGTGCATGCTGATTATCATCGGATTTTGTTACATATGTTTCAGAATAACAGTTAGCAGAAAAATAACCATATTGTTGATACAATACATTGATGTATTTATTTCCTGCAGCTTTTTGCTAACAGCTTTTTATTCCATGCGATTTCTTATACGGACATGTCCGTTTGACCTTTTTTCTGCGTTTCTATACTACTGGATTAGTCCATTTGTCTTCTAGGAAAGGGGTGACACAATCATTTCGCGCCGAAATGTCACATGTAAGTTCTTGCGCCCTTTTCCTGACTATTGAATTGCATGAATTATATAAAGTATGTTCTTTTTCGTCGGAATCCTGGTCGAACTTTTGAAAAAAAAAAACATATCGGTGATATTGTGAAGTGAGTTAGAAGTTATATCATTTAAAGTAATAAAATCGAAACGAACAAAAACCTCTTAAGAGGATATACTGGCCAAATATACATCTGATCCCCCCCCCTCCAGTGGGGTTTCTTCCTACAAAAACAGTATAGACCTATGAAAGTGTCCTCTCACATTTCAGGATTGAGAAAGTTTATTACATTTTTGTTCGTACAAATATTTTTGATGTGGACCCCTCATCCCTGAGAAAAACTTCCTGAATCCGCGCATGTCGCCATCCATATATCGCTGTCAAGTTTGTTGGGTCATTTAAGTATATAAAACTTTATTCCACGTTTCCAACCATCTTTAATGCTCTGGCATACCCAAGAAACTATTAAACACATTCGTCATGTCAGTCATACCGTTCCCCCCAATTTCTTGTAGTTTACATGCTTTCATTTTTTATTTGAGATACAAACAATATATAGGTTTTATATAAAATGTGTTCTTTTTCCATTGTTCTGATGAGTATATCATACAATTGACTTGAAATGAATACATGATGTTTTGAGCAACATCTTCGTAATTTACTCTAGTGAAATAATTTAACACCCCCACCTCTCCCAATGTAAACGTTTATAAATTAACATGCTTATAGGTTCTATAGATATTGATTGCATTAGTCAGGCAAGCTTTTTGAAAAGCTTTTACTTGTGACAATACTTTCTAAATACACTATGATTTTTGACCCGGTGACCTTGAAGTTTGACGTGCACATGTATTTTTAAAAAATTAAACATTACATTGAATTGGCCATAATTTTTGAATGAGAAGAGATGGGGCTTTCATATTAAGCATGTGTATTACCTGTGACATGACCTTTCTAAAAACAGTATGATTTTTGGCCTGTGACCTTGACCGTGAAGTTTGATTTACTTTTCAGAAACTTTAACTTAGGTCATGACGTTTGAATAAGGAGAGGTAGTGCTTTCATTTAAGATCCGTGTACTGCCTGTGAAAAGACCTTTCTAAATACACCATGATTTTTAGCCGGGCTTATTGCTCAAAGAGCAATTGCCGGCTTATGTGATCCTGTTCAAGGCAGGATGTTGACCCCATAGTCGCCATTTTAAAGTTACGTGCAAAAATATAGTTCTTACTCTCAACCGCTTTTGAGATAATACAAACGCTAAATAAAGCAACAAAAATAAAACGAAGTTTTATCTATATAAAATAAACATTAGTAGTAATGACTTTGAAAACTTCATAAGTCAAAGAACATAGTTCATTAGCGTAAGGATTTTTGATAATCAGTGTTACCGTAGTTCTCTACACATACAAGGTAAAGCAGGAGAGGGAACCAGACTGGCCTGTTTGTTTACATTCAGCTGCGGTACCAGATTAATTCTGATTCTGACAAAATCGGACCGTGGTATTAGGATTGAAAAACTCACTGTCAGTGTCTTATCATTTATATTAATAGTTTTAAATTAATATTTTCATCAGAATACTAGTATATACGTGATTCATGTAAGAAATCCATTCTACTCTGTAAATGAGCCCGGCTCTCTGTACTTCTGAGTACTTTGATTGATCTTGTGACATTGTCCTGGAAGTTTGAGCTAATTTTCAAAAATGTTAATTTTTCCTTATAATTTTAGATTGAGAAGAGATAGGGCTTTCATATGTGAGAAGTGCATTTCCTGTGACAAGATATTTCCGAGCATTTTATAATTTCTGACCCCTTGACCTTCAAAATTGACATAATTTTCAAAAAATCAACTTTTGTGATTACTTCTGAATGACATATGAACGGGCGTTCATATTTGACACAATACGTCATACAAAATGACATCTCACATACAAAGAAACCAAAAGAGGGGGACCACAATTCTTTGAATTTGCTTGTTACTTTTACAATTTGCTTGATACAATGAATTTACTCATTCTTTTTTTTTTTACAGAAATTAGGACATGC